ATTAAAATGAAATCAAGGAAGAGGATAACTAAATTAAAAGAGGACACCACCATGGATCTTCTTTGAGTATGTGAATGGCATTTTAATATTTATTTAAGTTTCAGTGGGCTACGAATTAGCATCTCCAGAATCCTACCAGTGTTCTTTATAACATGCAAAATGGGAATCCCTCCAGCTCTCTCTCCATCATGGACAGAATAAAAGATCTCTAGCTGAAGAAGAAAATGCAAATGGGTGGTAAAATGACTAGTAAGAACCGAATATACAGCAAGTATACAAAAATGTTCACCAGAGTCATCCTTTTTATCATGTGATGTTAAAGAGTTCATGTCAACGACTAACACTTCTTGGCTATGTCTTCTTTTACACAAGGACAATGGTGTTCTCCCTCCGTGGTTTCATTTTATACAGGAGTTGTCCTACTCCATAAATTCTGCACAATCACTGCTTAAAGCAGTAGCCACTTTTGGCAGTCTCTCTATATTCCCACTCTATAGCTTTCTCTTTCAGTGTTATGTACTGCTTTAATTACTCTTGGTCACTAGGAGACTCTCAGTGGGTTCTTACATTGCCTACATTTTAATAAAGAGGCTTTGGGGCACACAATAATCCCAAGTCTTAACTTGACCCTGTGACCCTGAAAATAAATGACAGCCTCCAGGGTACAAGTGGGTTTTTATCATTCCACACAAAGTGTTAAGTAGCTTTACTAAGAGCCACATTCTTCTCTGTTATTCAAACAAAGTGTTTTGCAGTGGACCAATTAGAATAAGGAGAAGATCAGAATGGAATAGTAAATGGAAATAGTGTGCTAATTTATCTAATGGTCATAATGTTTATAATGTACATGTTTATGTAGGTAGATTTAACATTTAGAAATCTTGGATATAGATACTCATTGGATATAGACAGTCTGGCTCTTCATGTGGAGAATGTTCAGTGTATAGTCTTTCTACAAATACAACAATTATATTCAATTCTTAAAAGCAACTTCCTCACTCAAGTTATTATAATGAGAAATTGTGTAAAGGAAAGTTTTATTTATTAATTTGATTTACATCTTGCCTTTTCTTCAGAAGCTCAAGGCAGAATATTCAACGCTTCCTTCTTTTATTTTCTCTCACATCAACAGCAACCCTGTCAGGTGGAATGGGCTGAGAGAGAGTGATGGGCCTAAAGGCACATTGTGACTGATGATGGACTTGAACCTACTGTCTCTTTGCCCTTATGCCACCATGTTTTATCCGAAAAGTTACAAACAGGCAGGGCCAGATTTAGATTGAAAGAGGCCCTAGGCTATTCCACTTATGAGGCCCTTTCACCAGTGGTGGGATTCAATTTTTTAACAACAGGTTCTGTGGGCGTGACTTAGTTGGGGGTGTGGCTTGGCAATCATGTGACTGGGTGGGTGTGGCTAGCTGGTCACGTGACTCTGTAGGCATGGCTAGCTCGTCATGTGACCCGGGTGGGCATGGCTATGTGCATAGACTTTTTTCAGAGGGCTGAAAAAAGTCATTTCTGACTGGGCCTCGCACTTTTGACCGGTCCTCACACTTATGACTATCCTCACATTTATGCCCGTGCAGCTTTCTTAACAACCATGTCACTCATTTCACAACTGCTTCTCTTCACCATGGTGACAAGATAGGGCAAAAACGTAAAATGTGAGGACAGTCGTAAGTTCGAGGACTGGTCAAAAGTGCGAGGACCAGTCAAAAATAACTTTTTCAGCCCTCTGAATAGTCCATATGCACAAAAGGACTACCCAGAGGGCTGAAAAAAGTCATTTCTGACTGGGCCTCGCACTTTTGACCGGTCCTCACACTTATGACCATCCTCACATTTATGCCCGTGCAGCTTTCTTAACAACCATGTCACTCATTTCACAACTGCTTCTCTTCACCATGGTGACAAGATAGGGCAAAAATGTAAAATGTGAGGACAGTCATAAGTTCGAGGACTGATCAAAAGTGTGAGGACCAGTCAGAAATAACTTTTTCAGCCCTCTGAGTAGTCCATATGCATAAAAGGATACAGCAATAGAGAGGGATGAAGGAAGGGAAGGGAAATTAGAGTAGGAGAGAGAGGGAGGAAGAGAGGAGGAGAAGGAGAAAGGAAGAGGAAGTAGGGAGGAGAAGAAGAGGGGGAGGAAGAGAAAGTAAGAAGGAAAGAAAAGAGAGGTGGTAGGTTTGAGGAGAAAGATTGCTGTACAATAAAAAAGATGAAAGGGAAGAAAGCCAACCCCAAACAAATATAAAGATATTAAGATAAAGAATGAATTGTTAAACTTTAAAGAATAAAAGAGAACAAATATGAATAAATAACAATAATTAGAAACACACATACAAACATACAATGTATTTTCTTTGAACAGAGTATTTGGCCGGTTCACAAATTTAAACAGTGTTTAGTCATTTCAATTAAATTTACAATTTCTATATTTCCTTTTTGCCATATTTATTCCTCATCTATTTTTGTAAAAAAACAATATTACCCTCATCCTCATCTCTAATCTTAATCAAATTCAATTTTTCCCTTCTATTCTATATTATACCCCTTCCCATTGTCATCTATTTTTATATCCATCCTCACATTGGTTAATTATGTAATATTACAGTTGTTTAATATGAATTCAACATTTTAATATAAATCAATTAGTTATATAACTACCTTTTTTGTATATTAATCAATATGAACATGAATATTCCAATTATTTCCATGCAATCCAATTTCTTACAAATCAATTAATTATATTTACCAATAATAATAAACCAAATAATTTCCCCCATATATTCCTCCAAACCACAACTTAACCATTTCTGCTTTCAACACAATATACAATTAATAGTATCTCAATTATTACAATTCCCTAGTTAAATAGAGCTTTTTTTCTTTTGTGTTTTAAAATCTCTTCTTTTTCCCTAAATTTCCCATTGTTTGCACCTACCTTTTTTGGTGAGGAAAAAGAAATCTGCCTGCCTAATTTTCCAACGTGCAAAGCCAACAGCCTGCTTTACTTTCTCTTTCGTTTTTCAGTATAGCTAGGGGGGAAAAAATCAGCACTCTTTGCAAGCAAGGAGCAGATCCGTGAGCAAAACAGCTGAGAGCAAATCAGCTGGGGGTCGGGAGCTGATCTAAGCAAGGGCTAATTAGCCTATGCTGAAGCTCCGGGGACCAATAAAATTACAAAAAAAACCCACCGAACCCTTTGTTAAATTGCTGCCTCCCCCGCCCCTCGCCCACCACTATTTATTGGCAATAAATAGTGGTGCGGAGGGGCGGGGCAAGCCAGTAATTTAACAAAGGGTTCGGCTGCAGCACTGGCTCTAGGGCGGCCCTTTGAAGCCCTGCTGCAAGAATTTGAAGTTTTTTTTCCCTCTAGCCATCGGAGGCAGCAATAGATTGGGAGTGGGCGGGGTAAGCGAACGGCCGATGATCCAACAGAGCAGAGAGTGAGGGTGAGTGAAGGCGTGGAAGCTGCTTTCTCCATCCTGCTCTCTTGCGTCCGGAGCCGGTGGGGAACCACGTGGCAGCCCACGTGGATCCCAGGCAGCGGAACTCAGGCTAGGGAAGGGGTGGGCAATTGTGGCTCTTTTACAACCTGTGGCCTTCAACTCCCAGAATTCCTCAGACAGCCAAGCTGTCTGAGGAATTCTGGAAGTTGAAGTCCACAGGTTGTAAAAGAGCCACAATTGCCCACCCCTGGCTACGGTAGGCTGGCGCCGCGCGGGTGGGAGGCGAGGGGCGGGCGAGCCAGCAATTTAACAAAGGGCTCGGCCGAACCCCCTAGAACCCCCAGAATCCCACCACTGTGTAGGCGCCTCTTGATCTTGAGGCCCTAGGCTGAAGCCTGGTTAGCCTATAGGAAAATCGGGCCCTGCAAACAGGTTAGGAAGTCAATTCTCCAACCCTATTATTTCCCCCCAGCAGTTTATGATTGATTCTTTGAGTATGGGAATTCAGAAATGTCAAAAATTTCATGAATATAATTCCATTTTATAATTATCTGTACAGGACTGTGCAAATCCTTAGAAGGTATACTCGTTCCTCCCACGCACCAGAGGTGGGTTTCAGCAGATTCTGACCAGTTCTGGAGAACTGGTAAATACCACCTCTGACTGGCCCCGCCCCCATCTATTCTCTGCTTCCGGAGACTCAGCTGATCCGGAGGAAATGAAGATTCTGCAGTAACCTTCCCCTGGATTGGGGAGGGAATGGAGATTTTACAGTATCCTTCCCTTGCCATGCCCACCAAGCCATGACACGCCCACCAAGCCACGCCCGCCCACCAAGCCACTCTCACAGAACCGGTAGTAAAAAAAATTTGAAACCCACCACTGCCACGCACGTATGTACACATGCAACCCATTTGTTTTGTAAGCAGGTGTGAGTAGCTTCTGGAGTAGCTTTTCAACTCATGAAAAAGACCTGACCATTTAAGCGATTCAGAAACAAGAGTTGCCCAACCCTCATTTGTACTAGAGGCTTTAATTGAACATTGCTCTGTTTCACTCCAACCACATTTACAGAGTCCCAAGTTTTGGCTTCTTCAATGATGTGTCTTGTTCTATCTGCAAAAAATGGAACTTGAGAGCAATTCTTTCAGAACTAGAAATGTGCAAATGAAACACAAGGGAAGCTATCTAGGGGAAATATAGAAGATGTGTTAAAGATGATTTTTTTTCCTCTCTTATCATTTTCATGACTTTAGCCATGAAAGCCAGCTGGGTGATCTTGGGCGCTAGTCCCTCTCTCTCAGCCGAACCCACCTTACAGGGTTGTTTTTGTGGGAAAAATACTTTGGGTGGAGGAAAGGGTGTTGGATATGTTCAAACCTTGAATTATTAAAATAATAAAGGTGGGCTACAAACCAACCAACCAATTTTTTTTTTTTTGCTGGGCACTCCCAATGCAAATCCCTTTTATTTTCTGCAAATCAAATCCTTTCCTCCATACAAATGTATTTTGAAACTTACAAAGAAATGAATAGCAATTAATAGTGTTGTTAAAGAATGTTTATTCATCACTTATCAGTTTCAGTTTTGTGCCATTGGGATAAGAGCATTCTGAAAACAGATCAAAGGAATCTTTCAAACGCAGAAAGCAAGAAGAAGGTTGAACAACAACTCCTAAAATAAACTAGTATTTTGCATTAAGCAATTATAGTTTACAAAATTAGTTTATCACAATCCTATATGCCCATGTGTAAACGACTAGTGAGCACAAACATTTTAAGTTTCAAGTAAAAGCAGGCAATGAATCCCTATGATTAGAACAGTATTGAGAAATACTGCAATAATTCCAAGATAAGATTATTGAGATGACCAGATAATGAAAAGAGCAGCAAAATTAATAAGCATCATATTCTGAAAATAGGCTGTCATGGTTACAGATGGATCAAACTTCACTGCATGAAAGTGTCCTATGGTCAGTGCTGGGTGTTTTCAATTAAATATTGAATGTTTAAAAAACTGAGTTTTCCTTTTGGCAGGCAACATTGTTACTACCAGATTATAAATATTCCTCTGAGTGACCACATCTTACACACAAAAGTATTGTAGGAATATGTTTTTTTAAGATCTACAAAACACCAGGATTTAATGAGACCACGGAATAAAACGGTGTACAAACAACCGAGTTATATAAATATAATATCCATACAGAATAGTTTTTTACACTCCAAAAACCATCCTTAAATGTTAGATACAATGCTAGTCATGCTTATGCCACTTGGATTCCCAGTAATATTAATATCTGCCGAAGTAATATATAAGCATACATAGGCCAGAACATTTAATACACCTACTGAAGTTTTAAAACAGTTCAACCTGATATCCTGTGGAAGTCCTGGGGCAAATACCTTGTGGCTCTGTTTATACACACCTACTGGAGGAGTGGGGTGGGGATAGATTTATATTGATATGCTAACCCCAGGCAATAGTGGGGCCAGATAATGTTAGTTGTCCTATGAAATGTCCTCAGGGTTGGTTTGGATTAAACTAACTTCCACCATTACAAAAACCTGCAAGGAATATGGAACTTTCCTTTTCTTTCTGCTGCTGACCCTGAGGCTAAATTAAGATGAATGCTTTAGATAGGCCAGTCCCCCCAGTAATCCTTTTTCTTTTTACTCCCTGCATCCAGAAGGGTGGGGATGAAGCCTGCTGAGAAGGGCATGGAGCTGGTTAAACCTTGTGCCCATCTTGCCTGCAATGGCTTTAATCAACAGAGGAATCCTTTCCCCTGTGATTAAAACCACCACCACCAACCCACCATTATCACACAGCAGACAGGGAGACCCTTCCAGGTACCTTAGCAATGCCTGGGCTTCCTGCCAAGATGGCCACTCTCTTTGTTGTCTGCTACCTGCTCGGAGTTTTCCTGGGGGTGGGGTGGGGGGGATCGCATAGCACAGAACCAGCCAAGCCGATCATCCAAACACAACTCCTAAGTTTGCAAAAATGTGAACCAAGTGACAAACAGCTTCTCTTCCCCCCTCCCCCCCCGCTTCTTTCCTTTCCCATCTTGGCCAGCAGCAGATAGTGGTGCTGTTGGAAATTGGGCTTCTTCCAAGAACGAAATCCAGTTGTGCCCTGGGCTTTTTTTCAGGGTGGGCGGGAAACAAAAAAGAAGTCAGATGCACTGCATGTCTATGTGCACAATTTTCCATTAGTCTCCCCTCACAATCACAGGGCTACCTTAGCTTAGGTAGTGGTCAAGGTTAGGGAGACAATGACAAGTATACAAAACATGGCATTTAGCACAGGATGCGGCATTAAATAATTGGGTAGACAAGAGTAGTTCGGGATCAGTTTACGGTGCGCAGGCAATCCCAAATCTCTTTTTCTCCCAAATTCCCAAAGTACGGGCATTAATATACTTGCTTTTGTTTTTGTGATTTGTCAGAAATCACGAAAAATAAAAAAAAAGAGGTAGGGAGGGAATTATTCCATACCCAGCAGTGACTATTTCTTTAGAAAAAAATTAATAAAAGGAGTATGTCATCCAAGTTCTGTCTGTTCTAAAATAACATGTACAGCAGTCCTTGACATATGACCATAATGGAACCTGCTCATCACTGTTTTATGGCCTTTTTTGTGGCAGTTGTTAATCAAATATGGTAGTTGCTAAGTAAATATGGTGATTGTTAATCAAACTCATTGCTTTCTATGGTGGAGAACACACACTTCGGTAACCTCCAGGTTTTGGCACAACAGTGATAAAATGTGGTCACATGACATAAATGTGGCCATGCTGCAAGTGCCTGAAGTGCAGTCACATGACCACAAGAGGGGCAACCGTTGGAACCACAGAAGTAGGTTACACCTCCATGTTTTCAGGTAAGTCGTAATTTTGAATCATAGATAAGCACTAAGCAACCGGTCGTAAGTCAAGGACTACTTGTAACTCAGCAATTATTCCCACTATCTGAGACAAAAGGTTGTTCATATAGAAAAAATACAATTCCACAGGCTGGGTATTGAGGTATCAAAGGCCCCTAATGAAGTGGATACTTCATTAGGTATTTGCATACCTCTAACCCAGTGGTCCCCAACCTTTTTATCGCCGCGGACCAATCAGCCTTTGATAATTTTACCGTGGCCCGCTGAGCGCGCGCAGGGGTGGGGGCTTTGGGCCACACGTGCGTACCTGCGCGGGGCTCTCTTCCCTGGAGCCTTTGCGCACGGCCCAGGAGCTTTTGCGCACGGCCCAGGAGCTTTTGCACACGGCCCAGGAGCCTTTGCGCTGCAGCGTTCATGTCCCCCGGCCGCTGCACGGCCCGGTGCCAGGTACTCCACGGCCCGGCACCGGTCCGCGAACCGGGGGTTGGGGACCACTGCTCTAACCAATGTACTTAGATCTTTCTCAATACAGATAGTATTATACAGATACCAACCTTTCATTTAACAATAGCTGAAAGTTATGACAGCCGTGGAAAAAGTGATTTATGACCTGTCCTCACAAAACCATCATACCACTTCCATATCACGTGATTGCAATTTGGGAAGTTGGCAACAGTCTCATGTTTACTACTGGTGCAGTGTCCACTGGTCAAGATGATCGCAATTTGTGATCTTCTCAGCAGTTTTCTGAAAAGCAACTTCAGTTGGAGAAGCAAAATTTGCTTAACACCTGTATGTGATTCACTTAACAACCATGTTAAGTGGCCATGTTGCAAACCCCTGAAATTGCTTAACAACTGGTAAAACTGGTCACAAAATTATGTGATGATTCTGCTTAGCAAGTGAAATTCTGGTCTCATTTGTGGTCATAGGTCTAGGATTATTTGTAAGAAGTATATAGCTTATTAATTCATTGTTGGTTCTGCTTGTGAGCAACATAGTTCTTTTTCTGCACACCAGATATATGTCTTCCATTACAATGGATGTTGAAATTAATTTAAGCAATAACAACAATTTTGTAGTGATTTGCTATTCTAATATCATCACCCTAAATTAGATGCTATTTTCCCCCAATGATGAGTGACAGTCAGTTCTAACCCTAACCACTTCAACAACAGTATGGGACACAATTATGGGTGCAATACTACTACAATGTTGTGGCAGAATGAATGGTGTTGATAAACAAACTTATATGTCAGAAGATCTAAACACCTGATGCAATAATTCATACAATCCTGCTAGAGGCATTGTGCTAGCTAGACACAGAATTAATGGCCCATTAATTCATACATTTGGAAAATCAAGATGGCACATGGAGGGGAGGGGATCTCTCTCTCTCTCTTTTTTTTTTTTGTTACGACAATCCTGTGAGTTACCTCAACAGGTAGTCACTGTTTGTAGAGGGAGGCTGACACTGGCCTAAAGGAATCCAGGGCTCTGGTTTGATACAGTCATCCCCATGTGTTTACAACCTTACCTTGGGTATTTGTTAGAAACCTGTCAACAGGAATGTAATATGAGCCATCAGGTTAACACCAGAGTTTCCAGAAAAAAGCAAACCATAATTGCACAGACAGATCAAAGCATAATCTATCAAGGAAGATTACATGGCAACAATACAGCTAATTCCTCCTGCTCTGCTCTACTCTGTCTTTATCATAGCTTGGCGAGATCATCCTGTATCCAGCCTGTTATCATTTCAGCCATTTCTTTGCTGGAATCCAAGACAAAAGAATGGCTGATTCCTTTCTCACAGATTCGAATATCTCCGTCTGGAAACGCCATCTTCATCTCTTCACAGTACTGCAGAGGACACCATGAGTCAGTTGATCCATAGTAAAAAATGAGCTAAAATAAAAATAGAGAACTGTCTTAAAGTAAAGATCGTGGCAGGAAAAGAAAGAGACCAGAGCTAAATCCAATTATTAGATAAAAAACAAAGACATGAATAATATCTACAGTCCAAAGAGAAATTCAAGAATCATGGCATACCACGGTAATTATAAAACATTGTATATATGTATTAGAAATACTTAGGTAATAAATGTCAATGGTCAGAATTTCTTCAATGGAGATTACTGAAGTTGTAAGACACTTTTCAACCAATCAAGAGAGACCTACTGAGAATTATTGTATTGCCTAGTGACACTAATGTGACACTAAGGATAATAGTCCTTGATTGGGAGGATATTTATTCACAACCAACGTAATAGGTGGAGAGTCCAGTGGATTTTTTTTTTTAACATCTGCTTATTTAGCCAATCTACAGGCAGAAACGTTTCTTCTGACAGGAAAATCCAGGAAGTTTAGTCCTCCTGCTTCTTCAAGTTGGATGCAAAACAAGTCTTAGATGTAAAAATTGGAACCTGAGGATCAATAGGATTTGTTTTCAAGCAAGCAACTTAGAATGGGGTTTTATTTATTTACTTATTCCATTTGTATAGCCACCTATCTCAAACCATTAACTCTGGGTGGCAAACAATCGTCAAAACAAACAAACTTAGTATGGGCCATTGCGCTTTCCAGTTGCTTTTGTTTTTACTTTTAGGGCCAAATCAGACATCCTACTAAATGCGTCATTTTGTCAGTTTTTTTTAATTTTTTTTAAAAAAACTTTTAAATAAATAGCAGCTGCAGATAGGGAAGGATTTTTCACTGGGATCTCAGCATGCAGGGAAGGAAGGCGAACCCTTTCCTCCAAAACATGAACTGGGTGTCACAGCCCAGAAGAAAAGTTAACAAAGAAAATAAGAGTAGATCCAGACTGCCCAAGGAAAACATCCTGACATCTTGTGCTTTGCTTGCAGATTACCTCTGTCTGTGTAATTAAAAAATTGTGGATTCCATGACCTTGAAAATATTTCATCACCAATAGCAGCCATTCTATACATCACCTGAAAAAGTTTCTTCTTTCTGGGTTGCAGAGATACTGCATGAACACAATCTCTGCATTTTCCCTTGCTTATGCTTCAGTTCTTCCCAACCCATTATAACACTAGCCACTGAGGTATAGTTATAAACTTCTGGGACAATTCTTTCAGATGATCAGCTTCTACTTCACGTTGTTGATTGGTTCTCTTGTGCTGAGACATCAAATCCATGCTTTATATTTAGGTGAGTGCTTCCTTTTGCACTGCTGACTTCTTTCCTCCACCACCATAGTTCTAACAAAAGCTGCTTTTTATTCGATTTATATCCTGCCCGTTGTACAGGAGCTCAAGGTGGCATACAATGAATCCATCCTCTTATTCTTCCCCATAATGCACTTGTGAGGGGACGAGGGGCTGAGAATGATTGGGCCAGAGTTATTTACTGAACTTTCAAAGGTGAAAAAATATTAGAATTAAGGTTCTAGTTTACCACCTTGATCACCATGCCACACTGGCTATCTGGCTTAAATTTAGATCAAAACGATTTCCAACACAATTAAAATGGTTAATGTTCATTTTCTACAAGCACCAATGAAACACCCTATTCTTTCCACGCTTCTGCTTCCTCCTTCTCCTCCTTCAACAGTCTTGTTTGGGCACTAATAATAGAGATACAGGTAATCGTTGTCTTATAACCATTCATTTAGTGACTGTTCTAAGTTACAATGGCTGAAAAAAATGACATGATTATTTTTCACTTACAACCATTGCAACATCCCCATGATCAGGTGATTAAACTTTAGATGCTTGGCAACTGGCATGTATTTATGATGGTTGCAATATCCTGGGGTCATGTGATCACCTTTTATGACCTGACGAGCAAAGTCAATGGGGAAACCAGATTCACTTAACAATCTGTTTAGTAACTTTACAACTGCTTCAATTCACTTAACAAGTGTGACACGGAAGGTAATAAAATGGGGCAAAATTCACTTAACTGTCTCGCTTAGCAACATAAATTTTGGGCTCAATTGTGATCGTAAGTCAAGGACTACCTGTAATGGCTGCAGCTGATGGTAGTTCAAATCTAGCATCATTTTGAAGGGGCCTAGATCCTGTATCTTTGTTCCTAAGAGCACAAAATAATTAGGACTGGAGTATGATTAAAGTGTGAATTTTACACTTACACATCTGCCGAAAACCCTGTCAGAAACCCCTCTCTAATATAGACTGTTTCCATAATAATAAAAACACAGTCCACCACGATCTACTATGTATATTAATTATCATTATCACCAGCATCACCAATATCCAGATTTAACCTTAGTAAACTTTCTTGATACTGTATCATTAGTATGTTTTAAAAATGAAACAGCAAATTCTTCGAAGTATTCTCTCACAAACTTTTGTAAAGTGAGTATCTATTTAATTTTTCATAAATATGGCCAATATGATGGCAGTTAGTTGAGATTGTTATCAACAGGATGTTTCAGCATTTCTAAGAAAGCAGCTATTTCCTACAGTGATCCTATGCCATTAAGGCCTCTCAAAGAAAGTGTAAGTCCTAACAAAAATGTGTTAAAAACATCCCTAAAAAATATTTCTGCCTGTTGTGTGGTTGCCAAAGGTCCAATACAGATTTTAAAAAAAAATGTCTGAGAGGCATAGAGTTCTCAGTGCCTTCAGTTCAGGTGTAAAAATTCACAGCAGTAGAATCATACTAAATGCATCAGACTTTGTGACCAAATATATTTTCAAAACAGTCAATGCTCAAATAAGCCTATGTATAATTCAGACATAAATTCAGACAAAAAGAAGGTTCTGCCTATGGCAACATATGTCATTAAAAAAGCCTGGGGGAGCCAAATATGGCCCTATTGCCTTCTCATTCAATGAAAAAAAAATGTTTTTCATCCTTAGGCTTATTTATTAACTCAAAGATTAGTAGTCATCAGGGGTGAAATGCTCCCGGTTCAGACTGGATAGCCCAATCCGGTAGTGATGGTGACGGGTGGTTTGGAGAACTGGTAGCAAAAATCCCTGTGCGCCCCCCCTCCCATGCCCAGCTGAGCCGCACGATCATCAGAGGCTTTTTTTTTACTTTTAAAAGCATTTTTTCTACAACCTCTTCCGACAAAAAAATGCTTTTGAAAGTAAAAAAAAAAAGCCTCTGATGATTGCGTGGCTCAGCTGGGATTGTCAGAGGCTTTTCAAAGCATTTTTTTTCTGCAACATCTTGGCAGAAGAGGTAGTAAAAAAAAAATGCTTTGAAAAGTCTCTGACGATCCCAGCTGAGTTGCCTGATCGTCAGAGAGGCTTTTCAAAGCATTTTAAAAAAAGCCTCTCTGACGATCCCAGCTGAGTTGCCTGATCGACAGAGGCTTTTCAAAGCATTAGAAAAAATGCTTTGAAAAGTTATATATATATAAAAAAAGTTGGCCACACCCACCCAGTCACATTACTCTCCCCCCCCCAAGCCACGCCCACAGAACCGGTAGTAGCAAATTTTACATTTCACCCCTGGTAGTGATGTCTATGGAGATTCTCAGCCATCCATGTCATAGTTGTTCCAAAGGTGCTTTTTCAAGAGGCAATTGGACTTTCTTGTTTTTCTTTGAAGACGTTTCATCCAAGAAGCTTCTTCAGCTCTGACTGGATGTTGGGGAATGGAAGGATTTAGCTGGTTATTTGCATTCTTTTAGAGAGTCGTTGAGGCCACTTGGAGGTTTATCTGGGTCTTCAGGGTCACCTGAGTACTGCAAATGGGTGTGGAGCCTTCTTGGAACTGCTGAAAGGACTGTGTTGTGGACTGGAGATAGATGATATCATAACCTCGCCCCCCACCCCCCGTTGAGAGAGGGCTGTTCAATTTTGACACAGACGGCCTGTTTGACCCTTCTTTCAAACCAGTGTTCCTCTCTCTCCAAAATGTGGACTTTGCTGTCTTCAAAAAGAGTGGCTTTTGTTTTTTAAATGCAGATGGACTGCTGAATCTTATCCTGCTGACTTTGTTCTCCTGTTAGTTACCTCTTGAAAAAGCACCTTTGGGACATTGGTGGTGATGTTCAGGGTCGGGGAATATGTTTATTTGCTATCTCTTCTCATTCAGTTTCTCACAAACTCCTCGTCTCTTTTTCTCTCCTCTTGTTCTGTATCTTCATCATTAACCCAAAGGTTAATGGTCTAACACTTCATAAAATAGGCAAAATGGGTGAAATCTGATTTTTGAGTCATTAATATATAAATTACTTTTCTTTCATTTCCTTGTGGGGTTTTTTTTCCTTCACTTTTTGACTCCCGTCCTCTCCCCCACCAAAAAAAGTAATGGTTATAAAGAAATCTGATGCTCCTATTTTGTGTTTTGGATTTAATGCATTATCACTGGATGCAAGCTTAAGTGTTGGTATTACTCTCCAAATGCTTCACACTCAAGTGCCCTACTGCTATTAATTTAGGGATGATAGGACTTGTAGTCCAATATATTTCGTGCTACATCAGGATGGCAGTGGCTAATGTAAAATATCTATATAACTTCTACTTCTTTTTACTGACTTGGCTTGGTTTTCATATGTTTCAGAGATTCTGTTATAGTTTTATATCGATCATGGATATTTTAAAGATATTCCTGTAAAAAAGATAAATTCTATGGAATTGCAATGCAGTGGCGGATGGAGGGACAGATAGAATGATAGAAGAAACGGAGTCTTCATTGATCACTGCCCCTCACCACCACCAAATGGAGAGATGTACGGTTAGGTCATCTTATTATACAGCAGATTTAGAGCACAACTAAAGAGTATTGCAATTACCTTGGCATCAAATGCTGAAATGTCTGCTGAAATAGTAATTTAATAAGGAAACTTTCTTTAAAAGAAATCCTTTTTTGCTCATTAATACTCTATTATGAGCTGAATCTATTTTACTTTGCGCTTAATAATATATGCTGCAACTTGACTAGAATATTCATTATTTAACAGTACTGTACAGTATGCACATTTAATTGAGTGCAAGTTGATACAGAAACCTTTCCTAACCTGGTGGCCTACAAGTATCCTCTACTTTCCAGACACTCTGGCCAAATTGCTATGAATTACGGAAACTGAAGTCCAGCATCTCTGGAGGCCACCAGTTTAGGGAAGGCTGATCTACAGGACTTTGCAAATTTGGAATATGAATGTGAGACCTTCTGCGGAAGTAAGTTATTAAAACATGTCTAAGTGGTCAACTATAGCCCAAGAAACCTCACTTATTGTAATTCCGTTTTACTTTCTGCTCTCTAGGAGCTCTATGTCTCCCTCCTTTTCAATTCTATTATTGAGGTTTGGTCACAAAAGGACTAAATTGGAACTGCTATGTGGGCTAAAGTATGGTTAAGTGCTACATATAGCAAAATCTTCCCGGGCTGCTTTTCTAACTTTGGACTTCAGCAATACACCGTCCAAAAAACATCTGAGACCTGCCGAAATGAAAGGTGTTCCTGGCTGCAGAAGATGTTTTAGACTTATTCATGCAGCGTATTTGAAGGATTTTCCAAACTGGAGGGAAATAATTTACTCTGGCTGGGGGAAGAAAGTCTTCTCTTGTAGTGTCTTCCATACTGCTGCTTTCCAGATTATGAATCTTTCAAGGGCAATAACTATTAGACTGCTATGGACAGCTTTGGACATTGGATTAAAAAAAAAAAAATCCTGGGCAATAGTAGACAAGCTGTTTCAATAAAAGCAACTCAAAATTGGTTTTGGCTGCTTCACTGGGCAATTTTTTCTTTATGCTCATATAATGAAATAAGCTTGTGATGGAAAAAAAAGAACAAGGTTAAATTAGAGGGAGGAGGAGGAAGAGGAGGAGGAGTTTCTTCCAAACGTATTTTGACTTAAAATGTTGCATAGCAAAACACTTCATCTTTATGAATGACCTTGGACCAAGGCCCAATAAACTTCCTCCCACACAGTTAGTTGCTTGCACATGCAGGACTTTGGCACTTGTAGATGGCCTCACCTCTTTTCTTTCATTGGCCGCTTATTATAGGAACACAGGAAGTTATATCACCCTGAGTCAAACCATTCATTCATGTAGCTCAGTACAGGGGTCAACAGCATGGCTTAGGGCCCGGTGATTTGAGGGGCTGCCTTTCTCCTGTGGTGTCTGGCTGATCAATTTCAGCTGATAGGGTAGGGATGCTCTGGGTTCTTTGGATTAAATAATGTCATTTATCAGTATCTAGGAAATGTAGCTTCTCTGTTGCAGCACCTGCCATCAAGAATGAGGTTCCCTGAGATCTGTGTGACTCCCAACCTGAAGGACTACAAGGGTTGTTCTCCTAGACCTTGGGCCAGAATAGCTGGTGCCCCAGCATTTGCTGGGTTGGTGGGACGTATGGGAGTCTGCTGAAGTTACCAGCTTATTCTTTTTTCTTTTGTCCAGTTGATGTTGTCATTTCTTGTTTCCTTTATATTGCTTTTAGAGTCAGGCTGCATCAAACTGAATAAACAAAGGTTTTCAGATACTGAGTATCATTTTGTGATTTTGCACAAAAAGATGGCATAGAATACTAAGTAGTCAATTATACAAATGCCAATGTTTCATAAGATGTTTGTATTTATACCTGAGATGGAAATCCAGCATTTCACAAAATTTGCTACTCATGTGTTAAAAAAAAAAAAGCAATTGTGAAACTAACAAGTATTCTGCCTTGCTTTCCCTTCTAGTCCAAGGGACTAGTCACTAGAAGAACTGTTGTCTTCCTTCATCCAGTCCTCAGAGAACATGCTCAGGGAAGGAAAATGCTATTGATTCTTGCTCTCCTGGCCTACTTGGGGGTAGAGAAGAAGTGATTGAATCCACTAATTGGAGCCATAATAATTGTGACTGATGAGAACACCTGAGCATCGCTGTGGCCAGAATGAAAGAAAGCAGTTCTTAAGTTGACCTCCCTTCCATTTGATTTACTCATGGAAGATAAGGAACTGAAAACTGTAGTGAAAAAAAGTGTCCAGAACATTATAAACTTACTACAGAGTTCCTTTAAAAAAAAAAAAAAAAAAAAAAACTATATCCAACTTGATTTGCAGCTTCTAGGTCCAATTCAAAGGGCTGGCTTGAATTAAATATTTCTTCTTGGCTTTACAAATCTTTCTCAACTTGATGGATGGAAAGCATGTAACCGTACAGAAATTCTTGAATAAGAACGATCAGCATTTTCTACCATTGGTCATATTGGGTGGGACTACAGGGAGTTACATTTAGCAACATATATGTCAGGAGTCCTTCATTACTGATGCATGGACACTTCTCTTGCCTTTAAGATTCTTGGAAAAGTAATACCAATTCTCCCTTTTTTGAGAGAGTGAGAATAGGGACTGAAGTGGTCTAAAAACTTTGGCTCCCTGTTAATATCAATTAAAGTTTATCTCTTGCTGACACTTGGAAGATTCCTATAAATACAAATTGAATAAACAAATACAATATAATTACAACTATTGCTTAACACATTGTAAGCCACCCTGAGTCTCTGGAGAAGGGCGGCATATAAATTAAAGCAAAAACAAAAAACAAAAAAACAAACCCAACTTGAATGAATGAAGCCTTCTAGAACAAGACAGATCATCCTTCTTCAGCCTAATTATCTTATTAATAGATAATATACAGTAGTATAGCAGCTGATACTTCTGGGCTAGGCATGGAGTAAACAAATTGTTAGCAAGTCAGGACTGCAGAGCCCAATAATTCACAGGCAGCAGAAAAACAGAGTCAAATGCCATACTAGGGTCCATATAAAGAGGTCAAATAAAGTTGAGGCATCAAACAGAGTCTATTATCCAAAAGACAAGAACCAAAGTCAGGATGGAGGTCAAGTGTCAGGGGTTGAATTAATTAAGTAAGTCAGAAACAAGGTATAGTAACATTATTTCCAGCCTTGTCTATTACAAACTAAAAGCTTGTAAAACCAGAACTCATAAAACTCCACCCAGGCTCCCATTGTTAGCCATTAGGCTATTCAAAAGGAGTAAGTCAAACTCTACAACTGAGGAAGCTTCATTGACAAGTAGACCAATTCATTAGTCACATCTGTACCTCTGTGTCTGAATTCTCAATCTCCTCTGTTCTCTACAATCTGGTCTTTTCTGCCAATTTGGGTGAGGACATTTTGTTGAAGTCACTATGACATGATATATGCAATAATGTGAATTACATAATTGGCATCAATTGCATTATGACATGAATGACATCCACTCTGGCACATGATGTCACTGCTTGTCAAATGTCTATAATAAAAGGTCCTCTATTTTATGAGATTCTAAAATGGGATTTATGCCACCCCTTGTCCTGGTCTTTGGTTCAGAGAGTGCACATGGTATGGCTAGAAGTGCAAGTTCACCTTCAGAGGAGGACTCATCCTGAGAAGACATGCCTTCAAATAAAACACAGAATTTCCCTTCTTGTTTGTTTTGACTTGATGATCCTTAAACTATTTTGATTGTTTCAGGTATGTGATTTATGTTTTATATGATATTCTTGACTGTAGAGAGCCCATGGGACTTTTTAAAATTAATAATACAAATGGCACAAATTTATTAATACATAAAATAGATAAATTAATAACACATAATGTCTTAATACTTAGTTTCTCTCTTTTGATGCTGTCGAATTGGGATATTTTGTTAATTTTATTCTAAAATATTCTTGTAATAGCTCACCTTAAACTATTATAAGATGAGATGAGGTACACAGAATTTTGCAAATAATTACTAAATTGCTGAAACCTGGAATTAAAGCTGAGTGAAATGGAGTGGATTTGAAAACAGATAAACAAGAAGGCTGGAAATAATTTGGAAAAATGGCTTCAGAGCATTGGGAACACAAATAAAACACTTCTTTGCAACTCTTTAAAGCTGCTGTATCTTTTACACAATCACTAAGTCATTCTCTGCAGCCATCACATAACCCCAGAAAAAGATATGGATGGTTTAAAAACTGGCAAGTAGATGCTATATTTGCACCCCTCATTTTGGAGTGGAATTTGAAGTGTTGAACAGTCCTAGTATCCAATGGAAAGTGTAAAGAATAAAAGTCTACCTTATTTAAATGTTGCTTTATTGTAGAATTGTCTCGCTCTAGAACATTTCTCATTTCTTGGCTTGCCAGGTATATGATGTTTGCTGTAGAAATAAGACACACAGGAAAGCACATCAGAAAACAGAACTTATACAGGAAGCTATGTTCAGCTACAGTCTTCAAATTTTGACAGTTTTAGGGATTATTCTCCATGGTTCCCAAAAATGTCTCCCAGTTGGTAGTTAATCCATTACTGTCTCCCTCTCTCCCTCCCTCCCTCCCTCTCTCCCTCTGTCTATCTATCTTGTGGTGCAGTCATTAGAATGCAGTATTGCAGGCTAATTCTGCCGATTGCCAGGAGTTTGATTCTCACCAGCTCAAGGTTGACTCAGCCTTCCATTCTTCCGAGGTCAGTAAAATGAGGACCCAGATTGTTGGGGGCAATATGCTGATTCTGTAAATTGCTTAGAGTGGGCTGTAAAACACTGTGAAGTGGTATATAAGTCTAAGTGCTATATCTGTCTGTCTGTCTGTCTGTCTGTCTGTCTGTCTGTCTGTCTGTCTGTCTGTCTGTCTACCTACCTACCTACCTACCTACCTACCTACCTACCTACCTACCTATCTACAGTATCTATCTATCTATCTTCCAATTTATATAGCCACCTGTCTATCAGAAGGAACTTTGGATGGTAAACAAAATAAGAACACAGTACAATAAAATTACCATTTAAAACTATAAACAGAAGGTATGAGACATGAAAGGCCCCGATAATTAGGCTGACTAGTTTCAATTTTACTCCTAAATTTGTCTTTAAAACATTTTTACATTTTAAAAACATTTTAATATTGTCTTTTTAATTTTTTTTAAAAATGAACTATTTTGATAGACAATAGACATGTAATTCTTAATTAAAACATTTATGAAAAGAGTTAATTACACAAAATTACATGAATTTACATAGAAGAGTTCTAATGGACGCTTCCCCGAACAGCCTTTTGCTTGAAAGAAATAATGAGTGGAAGATTGTAAAGCAGAGGCATGGATTTCTCTCCAGAGGCCGAGAAAAAGGAAATAACAATTGGACTGCTCCTTACTAGTGACCTCAAAACATTAAATGGGGCAAATTCCTGTAGCACTTTAAGGAAGCAGAAGCAAATGACATTGAGGTAGAAGAGAGGGCAGAGTTGGATTTCAAAATACTTGATAACTTTCCATCTGACTAGATATCAACGCACTTGCCAGCTCAATTTAAAATTCTAGATTCAAGATTTAAAGCCAAATTGTTTGACAATTCACCATACAACCAAGTATTTGGAACGATCCAGGCTATTCTCTAAAGCACTTGAGGGCAGGACAAGAAGCAATGGATGGAAACTAATCAAGGAGAGAAGCAACCTAGAACGAAGGAGAAATTTCCTGACAGAACAATTAATCAGTGGAACAACTTGCTTCCAGAAGTTGTAAATGCTCCCAAAACTGGAAGTTTTTAAGAAGAGATTGGACAACCATTTGCCTGAAATTGGTATAGAGTTTCCTGCCTGAGCAGGGGGTTGGACTAGAAGACCTCCATGGTCCCTTCCAACTTTGTTATTCTGTTCTGTCCCATTCATCCCAATCATCTGGCTTGCACAGATTAGATTCCAGTGGCTCTTGCTCCATAGTAAATCTGTATGGGATTAGTACATATATACTGAACAGGAATATTTTTTATTTATTTATTTTATTTTTATTTATTTTTATATGCTGCCCTTCTCCGGAGACTCAGGGTGGCTTACAATGCGTTAAGCAATAGCCTTCATACTTTTGTATATTTTATACAAAGTCAGTTTATTGCCCCCACAAACCGGGTCCTCATTTTACCCACCTTAGAAAGGATGGAAGGCTGAGTCGACTTTGAGCCTGGTGAGATTTGAACTCGCAGTAATTGCAGGCAGCTGGATGTTAAATGCTGCCTTAGTAGGAGGCATTAGCCTCCTACGCCACTATGCAGGAGTGAGACATAATTGCCTAGAATTACTGATTTTTCCCAGAACTGTGAGAGTTTAAAAACTTCAGAGGGCAAAGTTGATTATTTTCTGCACTGTACTTCTTTTATTCTACCCCAGGAGTTTGTTCCAAAGGAAGGTTGGTAGAAGTGTAAAGAAGTTTTGGATCCAGGAGTCTAATGTTAATGGTAAATTTCTAGTCGTCAAACTTTCTACCAAAGGAATCAGGCCTCCATGGTGATTATCAGGCCTCCATCAACACAGCTCTTCATCAATGGAACAGTTCCTCCATTCTATTTATGTATATATTACATTTGTAATCTGCTTTCTATCAATAAATCCAGCCTGTGGTAGCTAGCTAATAATACAAAATAAAACATTCTTTTAAAACTACAAAGCACAGTATAAAACCCATAATTGTGGACAATATTAAAATTATAGTGAAAGAAGCTTCAAAAACTTGAAATCTAAAAACTGTACATACAAACAAAGGACCCCAAAGAATAAAGGCAGAAGTCCCACAGTTTAAGACTATTTCCTTTTTTCCCCGTTAACATTTTTATTGAATTATAAAATAAAATAGGATACAAAATACAAAAGAAAATAGGAAAAGGAAACAGTAAAGGAAACAAAAGAGAGAGACCAGAAATCAGAAGGTATTTCTTTATTTCTAGGTCAGCTCTAACGCACTTAGGTGAAGAGAAAGTTGCATTTTATAATCCTATGAATGACCCCTCTTTTTGATGTGGAGGGTGAGATGGTGCCTCTCCCCCCTTTCTCCTTTTCCCCATCAGGGATGATTAAGCATTGGTGTCCTTTTAGTCATGTCCCTTTGCTAAACAGAGGCTGCTAACTGTGCCCAAAACACGCTTGATTTATTTATGACGGAGCAGCCCTGAAGGAACTCAGAATCAAGGACCAAGAAGAGAAAAGAGGGCTTTATATCACGGGTAGCTCTTTAACCTAACATGTCACAACCAGTGCTTAACATTTTCACCAGCTAAATTAATAGTACCCTCTTTACAGAGCTTAATGATCAAAATCAATCAAGCTCCTTTCAGTCTTTAGAACTATTTGACATTGATTCAATCAGCCACCAATTGCCAGACAGAAATACCTGCACATAACAGCGCTGAAGTTCAAATCCATTGTTATAGTCGTCTTATGGTGTGGAAACAAAACGATGCAGGACTAAACAAAAGACGAACTGTGCTTTGAAACAATAATCTGCAACAGTCTTAGTGCCATTGGGCTTTGTTTAATTAACTCCCTCCATCTCAAGGAACATTTGGAGAATATCAAGGAGCAGTAAAATGCTTCATATTTTACTTTCTTTAACGTGCCTCTACAATAAGGGATGGAACCTCTGACTATTAAGACATCACTGAACTACAGGTCACTTCATTGCTCGCTATTGGAAGTCCTGGTGGGAGTTGTAGCTTAACAAGATATGGTGGACATATGTTCTCTAGTCCCGCTTAGAAGCAAATGCATTAATGGAATGGTTTTTCTCTCTTTCTTCAACTCACATTATTGTTCAAAAGGCAAACAAAGCATCTATTATATGTCAATTCATTTCCTCAAGGATTGCAACCTACAAAAGAAAAGTTAAAGTTTGCCAACAGATATTTTTCTGTATGCATACATTGGTGCAAACATTTCCTTTCCTCTGGGAAAATGGTATAAACCTCATTCCATCTGCAGCAAGATTCATCCATCAGTTTAATCTATAATCCGAACCATCTTGCACAGCCCACTGTTATCTTGGATACAGTGAGTACAAGTTATCCCTGGAAGCTCTTAAGTTTTTGTTTTATTACTGCAAACTCCAAATGCCAACTGGTTGATGGCTTTAGTAAAACACATATATGTTAGCATATAAATTTCACTTAAAAACTTGCATTAGAAGTTGAATGGTCGTAATATGCTTGCGGCCATGTACACTGAAAGTTAGAAACCTCTTGAGTTAACTAAAAACAAATAAACAAATGTTGTCAAACTAATTTAGGAATATAGGAAAGCCCAGCGTAACAGCCTTAACAAGTTTAATATAAAGATGGATATAAACTCTGAATTAGGGAATTAAAAATAAAGTATGCTTAACACCACTTTCCATATTAACTTTTGCTCCACACAAAGCACCACAATGTTGAAGGCAGAACTGTAAATGAAGAAAAAAAAAACAACAAGCCATAGCCAATTGTTAAATAAGCAACTGCAACTTCCTGTGACAAAAAAAAAAAGTTATTTATTTCTTTATACAATTTAATATGATCACATGGCAATGTGAAGAACATAAATGATTAAAAACCAAACAATAATAGAACAATCAGATAATAATAATCCATACAACCAAGGTCCAGGATCAAGAAAAACAACCCAGTTTGCCAAAATTCCAACAAGAAGAGATTATAATAATGTTAGGCCACAGGAACAGAATAATCAGTAATCTGAAGTATGTATGTACTGTATATATATGTCTGTGTGTGCATGTGTGCACATATACATACAGAGAGAGTATGACTTTGTGTGTTAGCTCTGTAAAAAAATAATTACATACAGCTAAGCATCTTCTCCAACTAAGTGGATTACAAAGGTAGCACCATCTAGTTTCTTTTCTAATTCAACTCAGAGACATGCAGTTTGTATCTTAATTATCAAAATGTTCTGAAAAACCCTGGGATTCTACAAGAACTTTTTGAAAGGCTATGGTTAATCTATGAGGCCAAAGCAGATGAATAGGGAAAATATATCTTTGTATCATTGTTCTGTCCAGATGATTTTTGTTAAGTTATTGTAAACCACTTGTTATGATGTGGAAGAACAGATAAAAGTGGTGGATTCAATAAAAGCAAATTAAATTATGGTAGTCATATAACTGAGTTTCCCAGGAGAAAAATGTCCCGGCTACCCTGAGGAAAGTATGATGTATACTGCAATGAAAAAAAAAAAAAAAGCAGACTTCTCAAAACTGAAGGCAAAAGGAAAAAAATGCCCTTCTCTTACCCTTTTCTGCCTTCTTCTGAAGTGGTGGAAGATATAAAAGCTAGAAGCAGGAAGAGGGTAGATTCAGTTGGGTAACATTTAACAAATGTTCAGGTGAATTAGCTTCAGATAAATTAACATGAGGAATTAAAGTATAGCTCACATCACTAGGAACTAGAACAGCAGGTAGCTTCAATAAGGATACATAATTCGGCTAATACAGCATGAGATTGCTTGAACAGAAGTTGGTCAGTCTTAACTACCTCATGACACAACTATACTTTCAACGTATGGTTTGGCTGAATTTGAAACAACTGGATTATTTGCTTTCTAGGCAACTTTCTTTTTCTTGTGGCAAGCTGTTGCTCGAGTGGTATCATTGGGTCTGTACAGGGTAGTACATAAACAGCTCTGGCTTTGAAGCGACAGATGGAAGAAATTGAACGTGGAAACTCTTTATAACACTGAAGAGAGGGGGAAACTGTATGCTTAAATCTTTCTGCATTCAGAAAACTAGTACGCGGGAAGGCTAGAATCCTTTCTGTCAACCTTGTTTTCCCCCAGTAGGGCTTTCTCATACCTCTACCTCTAAAAGATGCCATGGGAAACAATGAATATTTGTTGATTATCTCACCACCAGGTTGCTAGCTTTTCAAAGCAGTAATAATGCTACAGTCTCAATGGATAGGTCAGATTATGTAATGGTCTGTGGGAATGATGTTGGGAGAGAGGAGGAAGAGCAGTCCAGACCACCATCACACAAAGGTATCTCAGTCCACAGGATTGTGAGAAGCATCTCAGAAGGTACCATCCAAGTCCTTTGGCCTTTTAAGAGTTTATTGCTTATCAAAGAGGGTCAGTGCCTTATTGTATCTTGATGACTTAAGACAAGATGGGGATTCCTTTTTTTTTCACTGCTTTCCTACTAAATAGTAGGACATTTTAACCTAATTTTATTACAGCAAAAACAGCAATGATGGTAAATTGGGTCTTATTGAAACATTTCTTTCTCTGGTGCTTCAGCATTCTGAATAAGCTGTTATAACACTGATTTGTAGGGTGACTCTTAAAGCTAATTTGGGTGAATAAATTCTAACATCCTTCCTGAAGTGGTCATTAGGAAGAGAGCTCACTCTTGGAGTGATTGATCCAAGGTATGGGCCAGTCCATTGATGTTATGAACAAGTAGGTATCCAGTAAGTCTTTAAAAGGACAGAAAAGGAAGGACAAATTAATGCATGCTTCTTTCAGGATTAACATTTTGTTGGTGAGTCATTCTATCATTCCTTAGATTTACTACTGAGGAGCTCAGGAGCAGAACTTTGAAAACAGAAGCCTATTAATTCAAGCTTAATTTGTTGATTACAGAGGTGTTATACTATCAAAAGGATCACTTTTACAATATTATAGTCATTGTGGCAAAGAAATGATTTGATGACACATCAGTGGTCCAATACTCAAATACTCTAATACTACTCTAATACTCTAATACTACTCTTCCCCAATCAACAGCTTCATTGCTAGATATGGGCAGATGTAGTAGATCCTACCTACTGCAACTTGTTTGGCAGTATGTTTTTTAAAAAGTCAATTTATTTTCAGTATCTTCTTCTCACCTCTCTTTCCTTTCCATCTCTTAATGTACCCTGCATGAGTCACTCCAAGTGAGCTCTCCTACAAATGACCACCTCAGGAAGGATGTTAAGAAACTCCCAAACTATGCTTCGTGTTTTTTGGAAGTTATGAGCAGTTTCACTATCAAAGCATTCAGGTTTCATGAGTAATATTTATGATGGAAATAAAACTGACAGCTTTTAATTTGTTTTTTGTTTTTTTAAAAAACACATAATTATGGAAGCCAAACTGCTTTCCTTTTCTCACTCAGAGCATCTGTGGACAAATCAAAGTTCTTACGAGCAATAAAGCAACTTGTTAAATTCCTACCCACCCACCTTTTCTTTCATTCATTTGGAAAGAAGGTAAGTTATAAATGAGGGTCACTCTGACAAATGACTAGGCCTGTCAACATAATAAATCCTTTAAAAGCCATTTGTTTCTTTTCACTAAATTAGCATGAGCATCCCATCCTTAAATAGGGGAAACTTCAGCTCATTTTCAAAAAGAGGAACAAAGCAGATATAGAGTACAAACCACAATTAAGGACTGCTTTAGGAAGGTAAGTCCTCAGACAACATTAAGCAAACATTTTAGTCAGGCATCACACAGGAAAACAAACAGTAGCAGAGGAAATGTGAAAGTCATTATTCCTTGGTCTACCTTCCTGGAAAGCAGGTGATAAAATATGTTTCCAGGGCTAAGGAAATGTTCTTTGAAAATATGTATTATGGAATATAATTTCTTACCTCAATTACAAATGGGCATTTAACATCTTTGCATGGGCCTAAC